GGGCCGCAGGGCCGCATGGACCGCGGCTCCACCCCGGCCGGCCCCCGTTAGGGCCCCCGATCCGCGGGCGCCACCCCCTTGATCATGCTGCCTCGGCGGCCGCCTGGACCCGGAGCGGCCAGCCCGAGCCGCTGAGCCCCGCGGCGGCCGCGAGCTGCATGGGGGAGCGCGGGCCCTCGGGAAGATGCCCCGGCCGGAGTTGCCCCTGCCAGAGGGCTGGGAGGAGGCGCGCGACTTCGACGGCAAGGTCTACTACATAGACCACACGAACCGCACCACCAGCTGGATCGACCCGCGGGATAGGTAGGACCCCGGGGAGCCCGGACCCGCACCCGGAACCCCGCCTGGGCCGCACCTGCCCTTGCTGGGCGGCGGGTGGCGGGGAGCTCTGCATGCCCCTCGCCTGGTCTTAGTTTGTCTCCCCCCACCACCACTAACACCTTCACCCCCATTGCTGGGCGCCACTCCAGCCCCAAGAGGTGCTGTTCAGAGCAGACGCCAAGCGGGCTGACCCAGGCTGCCCTGCAGCCAGCCCCAGGTAGAGGACTTAGCCCGGGTGGCACCTGTCCAGAGTTTTGACCTTAAGCTCTAGCCCCGCCCCCGACCCCTTTAGGCGGAGAGGTCTGACTGCGGTGAGGGTGAAGACCTAGCCAGGTGAAGCGGGTCCTCCAGGCAGGCTCTCCTGGCTGGGTGAGGGGCTGGTTTGGCCGGGGAGGGGTGTAAGGAGCCCCAGGGATTGCTGGGGAAGGACGTAACGCTCGGCGAAGGGAAGGCAGCTTTTTGACAGGTGCCTCGGTGGCTGCCTAGAGGAGCTTTGGAACAAGTCTGGGGAGGCCGCGGGTGGGAGGGGGAAAGAGGGAGCGGGGGAGGGCAGAAGAGGGAGACTGGTTCTCCAGGAATCTCACAGCAAGTTGGAAGCTGTTAGGATGTGGATGGAGGTGAGAGGCCTCTCATCAAGCCCTGCCCATTGCCTCCTCTCCTCCTTTTCTCTCTGGGGCCAGAGGCTCCTCAGCAAATCCTGACCTTGGTGGGCAACAAGCTGGTTGTAGCTGGAGATTTTGCTGAGACAGGTAGTCTTAGGGTTCCAGATTCTCTCCTAGTTTTAAACTACTTTCACACACACCTGGTCCATGTATGTCTTGGGAGGAGGGAGGCTGCCTGTTGTCTTTTGCTGACAAGGTTTGTGGTCAGAGTATCTCAGGAATGTGGAATTTTCACCTGGTCTGTGACCTTGGGGCTCAGGTGCCAGCAAAGCAAACTAGGTGGATTTTTTTTAGAACCTTTATCTTGTGGGACTCAGATGAGATGTCAGAAGTCCAGGATTTGGTGTGTAGCAAGATGTGGATTAAAGACGGGGTGGGGGGGGGCGCACACGGACACACAGAAAATGTGAGTTTAGTTTCTCATAAGTACATTCATTCATTTAAAATTTCTTGGATGCCTGCTCTATGCTCAACACTGGACTCCATATGACTTGGAAGAGAAAATTTCATCACTAGAGTGTTAGTCTGCTTTTATCTCAGACCTCAGTTTCTTTTCGTGCCTGATTAATGGTTTGCTTGGAAGGCAAGGAGTAATAGTGCGAACTAAAAAGTTAGAAGGAGCATAGGAGATCCAAGGTCAATCCCCTTGAAAAAAGAAAATGTGTGTGTGTGTGTGTGTGTAAGCATGTGTGTAATCATAGTACACATGAGGCAGTCAGAGGACTACTTGTGAGAGTTGGTTTGCTCCTTCTACTGTGTAGGCTCTGGGGATCAAACTCTGGTTGTCATGCTTGGCGACAAGTGCCTTTACCCCTTGAGCCATCCCACTGGCCCCCAACTCCCATTTTTAAATGTAAGAAAAATTAGAAACTGAGGGATGTAATTTGCTCAAATATTTTGACCTTTCCATTTGCATATAGCAAGTTTGCATCCTGCTCTGACTCTGCAGCCTCTCAACTTATCTCTCACACAGTTCTTCCCTATGCCTCTCAGCTCAGTTGCCCAAAGAGGTCTGTTACTGTGCTGGTGGACTTGGCAGCCCCGTTCCCCTTACCTTCTTAGAACACACAAGTTCAAGCTTACGTGTCCTGAGGTGTAAATCCCTGCAGCTGAAACTGGTGTGCTGTGAGCAGTTGGCTGTCATGTGGGAAGGTGAGGACTGCCCTACTAGCAGTGAGTGATCATCATGCATCTGAGAGATACAGCACAGGCGGCTTCTAGAAAACACCAAGAATTCTTGAACCTTGGAAGAGGGCAAGTCTGTAACTTCCATGAATAGCTGAGTTGGCCAGAATATAATCTTCCAAGTTGTAGAGTGTTGGTTTATCCACCAGAACCATTGCTTAATACTCAGCTGTACAACTCACTTGAAAACTTTTGTAGCGCTTTCACAAATGGGAAACTGTTAATATCTATTGCCATAAATAGAAAGGAGCCCTAAAACAACTTTAGGGGAGGGGTCCTGAATATGATCAAAGCCGTTACATGAAATTCTCAAAGAATCAAGAATCAATACAGATATTAAAAAACAAAACCTTAATGTCATTTTACTTTAACCAGATACTACTGTGTCTTACCTCCTGCAGCAGGCCAGGCCCAAACAACCTCTGTTTTTTCCTTTTTCTGTCTTATTGAGACAGGGTATCCCTGTAGCCCCAGCTGGCCCAGAACCCAGACCAGGCTGGCCTTGAACTCACAGAGGTCTGCCTACCTCTGCCTCACAAGTGCTGGGATTAAAGGCATGTACCACCATGCCCAGCACAACATCTGTGTTTATGCAGATAGGCCTAAAAATACTGGTAAGCAGTCAGAAACATGACTGGTGGGGCTGAAGTGATGGCTCAACAGTTAAGAGCCCTGCTGCTCTTGCAGAAGACCCTGGTTCAATCCCTGTACCCACATCATGGCTCATAACTATAACTCCAGTTCTAGGGGATATGATATCCTCTTTTGGCCTCTGAGAGCACCAAGAACATACATAGTGCACATGCATACATGCAGGCAAACAGTCATACACATAAAGATAATTTTTTTTTTTTTTTTTTTTCTTTTTGAAGCAGGGTCTCCCTGTAGCCCCAGCTGTCCTGGAACTCACTATGTAGACCAGGCTGGCCTTGAACTCACAGAGATCCGCCTGCCTCTGCCTCCCAAAGCATAATTGGTACTTGTTGGAGCTCTTGATTCTTCACTTTGTTTCTGCCTCCTGCTCATCCCACCTGCACTGGGCTTCTACACAGTCCTTGAGTTTGGGGTCAGCCCTGGGGCTCACTCCTGTGGCCATCTTTGAAGGATTTGAGGTGGAGTTGTGTCTCTTTGGAATCATTTTCCCATACACCTCTTTAGGGTTCTGCCTTTGAATCCTGCTTGTGTGGCCACAGGTATGTAGCTTGCCCTCTGTGAGGTTTGAGGTGAGAGAATTGCTTGGTTAGCCATTCTTCAAGGGGTGCCAAGCTCTGATTTCAGCTTTCCTGCCTCTCCTTACAGCCCCCCCCCCCCCCGGTATTTATGAAGGAGAAGGGGCAACAGGGACGATCAAGCTAGGCGGATGAGAAGGAAGCACTTTAACGAAGCTGAAAAGAGCTGAACTTTTTTGGGGGGTGGGGTGGGAGGTAAATTCTCCCAGAATGGTGACATCGTGCAACCCATTGAAGCTGTGAAACCAACAAACAAAAAATCACATTTAAGAAAATTCCACTCCTTAAGAGTGTGCGTGTCTGAGCACAAATCAAGGCCATGCCTGCCCATTCCCCTGAATTTAAAAGAAGTCAGTCAAATGGTCCTTCAGTTGGAAAAGTGATTTCTCAGCCACCCAGGACAAAATAGTGTCTCTGGTTACCAACCCTAAAGAATGTCTTGGCACATTCCTCCCTCTGGGGCTGAGCTGTTTTGTGTGCTGTCCATGGAGCTGCTGGGGGTAGAGAATCCAGTTTTCAGCTTCCCCTTTCACCAGGGGGTTGGAAGAGCAGCCAAGCAGCCAGCCTTGCCAACTCTCTCCCCTTCTCACCCAGGGAAGACTGAGAGACTGAAATTCCTGAGGACCGTTGTCCCAACAACGGGAGAGGGTCCAGTGGGCAGCTTGGGCCCTGCCCACTGGGCCAAAGGCTGCAACAGCACCCAGACTCTGCCCAAGTCAAAGCCATTCTGGAGAGGGACAGGTCCCCAGAGAATCAGGTGCTGCAGATCAGACCTGAACAAGCCCTTAGAACTGGGCATCATTTGCAGCTGAGCTTAGGTGCTTCTGAAAGCTGTCAGCGAAGGGCCAACCTTCTGCTTGCATTTAGCTTCATGGTAGGCATAAAACAAATACACCATTTGTTCTCTGAGGAAGAATGGATCATGGGGACTGGCTCTACCAGAGAAGATTCCTGAAGATTCCTGAGAGATTCCTGCTCTCTGGCTTTTGTGTTCAGACCTTGCAGGAACTCTCTGGGAACTCAGCATTTTCTGGGTTCTAGTAATGTGTCCTAGAGACCCATGAGGCTCAGGATTTAGGAACTTCTGTCATGATCAGATGGCCAAATTTGCTAACCTACCATTTCAGATACAACTTTTATTGTAGGAAGTTGAGTCTATAGCAGTTAAAGGTCTTAACCTTAAAGCTCCTGTGAGATTTGTGGACGTGCTAGTGCAATTCCAAAAGTGCAATTCTTTTGTTTTATCTTATTTTGTACATAATTTCTGGGCCCAGTGAACTCCAGGCTCATAACTCTTGTCCTAGATGAACTTGCGAACTGTTTGTAACCCTCTGTATGTCCTCTGTTTAGGTGGAGAACAGATAATGGTTGAGCAATTACCCACCCATCAGGAGGTCGACTGAGAACTTTATATGTTATTTCTTTTGAATCCCCCCAATAGCCCTGGGGCATGAATTACCTGAGGCCTGAGGCTCAGGGCCACACAACTTTTATTTTTAACTTGAATAGCACTGGGGACTAAACCCAGGGCCTCATGCATGCTAAGCAAGTGCTCTACCACTGAGCTACAACCCCAGTTCAAGTCACTGAACTTTTGCAAAACTGAATGTTAGGCAGATTGGGTCTAGATGGAGCCTGAATGCACTATTTCCTTTCCTCTTTCCTTCCTTCCTTCCCTCTCTCCTCCCTCCCTCCTCTCTCCCATCTACCTATCCTTCCTTTGGTGGGCTGAGGTAGAGCCCACATTTCTAACCACTGTACCATTCAGCCTCCTGCCCCCTGAGTTGCTGACTCAAGACCTCTGCTCTACTGCGGCAGGAATTTGGCCTTGGGAAATGGAACTGGGCCAGGCATGGTTTCACTTACCTGTGACCATTCTGGTGTTGCCTTAGTCAACTAGAAGGCA